GGGTTGAAGAGAGGACAGGACTCACGAGGGCCTGGGAAGCTGGAATCCTCAGTCGGGTGCCACTGCCGTGTCCCCTGCCGTGGCTGGATGGAGCCTGCCCCCTCCGTGTGGCCACAGTCACTGGGTCACCGGGCGGCAGACTGGCCGAGCCTCCCGCGACAGACCCCCGGCAGGGGCCTCTGTGGGGGACCGTGGGGGCGTGGCTCCCGCCAAGACACACTCGGGGGTGAATTCCTCAGCTCAGGAAAGGGGTGCCGCCGCCGGGCCGCCAGAGGAGAGGCGTGTGTGGGATGTCAAAAACACACGCGAGTCGCGATCATCGCCCGCACGCTTGTCCTCTGCAGGGACCACGGTGCACGTGTCGGGACACCCTCAGCCCCGTGCAGACGCTTTGCTGGTGTTTTCAGCTCGGGGACGTGCTGCCTCTCGGGGTGGGCTGGTGCGTCTGGACAGCCTTGCCGTTGCCGGTGTGTGCCCCACGGTGTCACTGGCTTCTCTCTCTAAGTTCTGCACTTCAAGGTGACAGAGCGGCAGCACCCGGATGGCCTGGACTGAGGTTGGTCCCGCCCATGGCGTCCTCTCCTCGGGAACTCCAGAGTCACGCCCATTGCAGGGGGCAAGACTGGGAGCCCCGCCATTCCTGTCCCAGAGTCGCCTGGCAGGCACATCGGACGACCAGAGGGGCCTTTGCATTCTGACGCCTTCAAAAGAGGCGGAAATAAAGCGAAGGAGATCGTTAACCTTTCCTGTGCGTTTTTAGTTTTTTTTTTTTCAATTGGGGGTCTTCCTCTGTCGCCCAGGCTGGAATGCGGTGATACGATGCTAAGGGTCACCTGCAGGCATGTGCCACCACGCTGGGCTCATTTTTAAAAAAAATTTTATTTGTAGGGACAGGAGTCTCGCTGTGTCACCCAGGCTGGTCTCAAACTTCCAGATCGCTCAAGGGATCCTCCCGCCTTGGCCTCCCAAAGTGCCGAGAAGACAGGGGTGAGCCCCCCAGCACCCGCGGGAGGTTTTTCCAACTATGGAGATAAGGGAAGAATTTCTTTTCTTTTGTTTTCGTTTTTGGAGTCGGCGTCTCCCTCTGTCGCCCAGGCCGGAGGGCAGGCGCACACTCCCAGCCACCGCAGCCTTGACCGGCCGGGCGCGTGGCTGGAAACGCCAGCGAGCACCAACACCCGGTGGACTTTTGGATGGATCGTCGAGACGAGGTCACGCCGTGTGGCTCAGGCCTGTCTCGAACTCCTGAGCTGGGGCCGGTCTCTCGCCTCGGCCTCCCAGAGTGCTGAGACCATGACAGGCGTGCACCACCGCACCCGAGAGCGGGCAGCCTTTCCAGGACCCAGACTCCTGGAAGATCCGAAGTCCCCAGAGGACCTCAGGCGCTGCCTGCCGGGACGTCCCTCGGGGGGAGCCCTGGGGGTGGGGTGGAGTCGGAGAGGGGACGTCGCCCCCTCCCACACCCCCGGGGACAGCAGGCGTCAGGGAATGCGCCAGGACCCGCAGAGTCCGACCCGCCCTCCCGGCGGACTCTCCTTTCCCCCAGATGGCGTGGCCGCGTCCGGAGCCCCCGAGGTCGGGTGGCCCGGTCGGCGCCCGGAGACGGGCAGCCCCCACGTCCTCCGCTCCCGCCCCGGCCCGGCCGCCCGCCTCCGCCCTCCACGGGGACAGGCACCT